TTTAATAGGATTTTTGTTGAATCCTGCATACAGCTTGTTATGGGGCATCAAATAAAAAGTGGAAACAGATATATATATTTTTTAAGATTTTATTTATTCATTTGAGAGAGGGAGAGTACAGAGGGAGAGTGAGATGGAGAAGCAGACTCCCCACTGAACAGGGAGCCCAATGTAGGGCTCAGTCCCAGGACCCTGGCTTCATGACCTGAGCTGAAGGGAGATGCTTAACTGACTGAGCCACCCAGGCGCCCCTATATCTTCATATATTTGTATTTTCTAATAGAATTCATTTTTTAGATTTTATATATTTTATGTTTTAAGAGACAACTTCATTCTTTGCAGATGTCTAACACAGGAAATTGGATGCATATTCATTATCAATCTAAACTGCAGGCCCGGAAAGCCTTAAGCAAAGATGGGAGGATTTTTGGAGAGTCTATCATGATTGGTGTAAAACCATGTATAGATAAAGTAAGTTATTGCTGATGTAAGGAAAATAGCTTAATCTATATGAAGAGCACGAGTCTAAGCACTGACATTGATGGTTATGCCACTTTGCTTCACTATGCCCCTTTTTCTTGTGAAATGTGATGATGTTATAGTACTGTTTTCATGGGAAGCCAAAGATGTCACAGGACTTTAGAATTTAGAGATAATCCATACAAACCACTTCATTTTACAGATTAAGAGGCCAAGAGGACCTAAATAACTTACAGAGTGGTTAAAGGTGAGACCTAGATTTTAGGTCTCTTAACTTCTCATTCTCTTGTGCAAAGCAACATCAAATTCTTTAAATACTTTAAAAGAATGCTGCTGTTTCAGAACAAAAGGTTTCACAGGAATAGTTAACAGGGTTAACTATTAAATGGCTGAAGCTTTTTATTAGTCATTTTTATTTTAAAATCTTTTAAAACATATATACCTATAAAATAATATTTAGCACAATTTATACTTTGTGGCTTGTAAAATCATGATCATTCTTAAATAATTATGCATGAACTTCTGTCCACCAGCACTGTGCTTGGTGCTTGTATACACACATTAATGCACAAAAGCAGGTATGGTTCCTGTTCTTATAATCTGTGGTTGCTGTAAAGTTATGTAATTATTATATTGTGCTGTAACAGATGTTTGTAGAGGTTAGAGGAGAATCTGGGGTTCCTGGCTACTAAGTTACACTGGGCTTCAGTCCTCCCCCCTTCCCCAGGATTTCCTCAAGATTCTGGTTTTTCTTCCTTGTATTTTTTCCTAGTATTTGTTAGGAGATTTTTACTCTTTGAAGTCTCTAGTTGTCTTGATCATGTTTGAGGTCATTGAAGTGAACTTTCTGTCTGAGCATTGTATCTCAAATAGTGTAAGCTAAGAAGCATATATTGTTTTAGCAAGGCTAAACTTGTTTGAAAGGTTAATTAGATCAAAGAAAATATGCTCCTTTTAATAAAGTTTCCTTTCTAAATAGGATGTAATAGTGAATAATAACATATTATCTTTATAAACAGAGAAGTTCTTTATCTTTATTTCTCCAGAGTGTTATGGAAAACAATGACAGGTGTGCTTTATCATCTCCATCTCTAGCCTTTACACCACCAATCAAAACCTTAGGTACACCAACCCAACCTGGAAGTACTCCTAGGATTTCTACCATGAGACCTCTTGCTACAGCATACAAAGCTTCTACTAGTGACTATCAGGTATTTTAAGAATTAGATAAAGAAGATATACTTTATTTGTCTTTGTATTTATTTATTAAAAGATACACTTTAAAGGGGGAAGTGCCTAGCATGTTTAACTTTTTCTTTGGGTTGATTTGTATGCCATTTACTATTTCTTACTGAAGTGATTGCCTTGATGAAATACCTATAAACTTTGCATTCTTAAATTTCCTATTTTAAAAATTAGAATTTTTGCCAATTGAAAACTTATGTTGAATTTTTAAAAAATGTCTTTCCCATTAAAACATTTTGAGAGTTTTAGTTTTTTCTGAGTTATATTTGCATACATTAAAAGTTTTCTCTTGTGAACATCTCTGGCATGAGGGAATATCAAAACCCTTTGACTAAGTCTGATGGCATCACAAATGAAGAATCTCAGATTGGAGTAGCTGTGGTTATCAGAGAAACTACTGGCCAGCTCCCATTTCATAATTTCTCATTTCAAAAAGTTTAAAGGAAAAGTTCATTGTATTCATTGAAGAATGATAAAAGTATTATGACTCTCATTCAGTATGTTATTATTGTTCCCTACTAAGTTAACCAGGTTCTGAACTTGCCTAGCTATAGACATGGGTCCTGAAACAGCGGATAAAACACTTTCCACTTTAGTAAGACAGGTAGTGACAATTTAGTCTTTTGATTTACCCTGAAATTTGGATACTAGAAGTATTTTTTTCCTTTAAGTTTTTTCTTTTAAACCAGTATTTTTAATTTTTTTTATTTTTAAAGTAGGCTCCACACCCAGTGTGGGGCCTGAACTTACAACCCTGAGATTAAAAGTCACATGTTCTACCGACTGAGCCAGCCAGGCGCCCCTAAACCAGTATTTTAAAATCCTCATTTCCTATCATATGATCTCACTGATATGAGGAATTTGAGAAATAAGACAGAGGATCACAGGGGAAGGGAGGGAAAAGTGAAACAAGATGAAACCAGAGAGGGAGACAAACCATAAGAGACCCAACAGAGGGTTATTGGAATGGAAGGGGGTGGGAGGGATAAGGTGGCTGGGTGATAGACATTGGGGAGGGTATGTACTGTGGTGAGCGCTGTGAATTGTGTAAGACTGTTAAATCACAGACCTGTACCCCTGAAACAAATAATACATTATATGTTAATAAAAAAAATAAAAATAACAATCCTCATTTCCTGGGGTACCTGGGTGGCTCAGTCAGTTAAGCATCCGACTCAATCTCAGCTCAGGAGCTCAGGTCTTGATCTCAGAGTTTTGAGTTCAAGCCCTGCATTGGGCCCCATCCTGGGCGTGTAGCCTACTTTAAAACAAAACAAAACAAAACTCTTGTAGCTTTTGTGTTGTTTGTTCAGTTTCCTAATAAAAGGAGCAGATGTAATTTATCTTGCCAAAGGAGTAAGATTTTGTCCTTCTTTAGAGCATAAGGATGTTCTAACTGAATCCATATATTAATCTTTAAATATTACAAATGCATTTAACTGTTTGGCTCTTTTAAATTAGTTAACTCTAGAATTGACTATGATCCTGAGGAAACTATAACCTAACAATTGTGTTTTTTTAATAGGTTATTTCTGACAGACAAACGCCAAAAAAAGATGAAAGTCTTGTATCCAAAGCAATGGAGTACATGTTCGGCTGGTAGTATAGTAAGAGCTAAGAACTCACCTACCATGGAGGAGGCTGCTACACTAAAACAGAGTTAGCAGAGTACTGCCACCTTTCCTTTGGTTAGTTGTATAACCACTCATGGCAGTACTGGATAGCTATCTCATACTTTCTTTAGAAGCCTTTTTCTTTAAGGATACAGCATATTTGTAGCTCGCACTTTAAAAGATGCTTGAGATAAGTTTTAAAGAAACAAAAAATCCCTGTAAATAGGATTTTGTGCTTTCTGTGATAGTGCATGCTTAAGCGCAAAAACTCAGCATTGATTACCGTAAATTATCTAATTGAATTTGTGGTGAAGATTTGTAGTCTTCATGAGTTGGTGGGGTGAATTTCATGAAGGGTAACTTGTACAGCTCCTTATGACAAGACACAAAGATTATAATTAACAATTTGAATTATGGTCTTTTAATTTAGATAGTATTTAATATTTTAATTATCCTTGTTTATATATGTCTTGTCGTGGATTGTCATCCTTCAGTATTCTAAAACCAAAACAGTCTTTTTAAAAACCTACTAAAGTTTCTTGATAATAAACTTTGTCAATTATATATGTTGAACCTTTTTTGTAAGTGATTTATTTTATTAACTATTTAAAAAAATTGAAGTGTTTGCTGAAATAGAGGAAATACGTCATGAATCTCCACATACCTGTAATTTAGCTTTAACAACCATCAATATTTTGCCTTGTTTCTTCTCTCCCCCTTTTGTTTAAAGCCCATCTCAGATATGATGTCATTTTATTTTTATTTTTATTTTTTTAAAGATTTTATTTATTTATTTGATGGAGAGAGAGAGCGTGCAGCAGGCATAGAGAGAATGAGAAGCAGGCTCCCCACTGAGCAGGGAGTCCGATGTGGGGCTTGATCCCAGGGCCCTGGGATCATGACCTGAGCCGAAGGCAGACGCTTAACTGATTGAGCCACTCAGGCGCCCTGATGTCATTTTAATCTAAATACTTGAGGATATATCAAAAAAGAACATTCCCACTTATAATTACAGTATCAGTATCACACCTGACAGAATTAGTAACAGTTTCTTATATCTAATGTACAGTCCATTTAAAAATTTCCCAGTTATCAGGGCACCTGGGTGGTTCAGTTGGTTAAGTTCTGACTTTAGCTCAGGTCAAGATCTCAGGGTCCTGGGATTGAGCCCTGCATTGGGCTCCACCCTCAGCAGAGAGTCTGCTTGTCCCTCTGCCCCTCCCCCTGCTCATGTGCGCTCTCTCTCTCTCTCTCCCAAATAAATAAAATCTTAAAAAAAAAAAAATTCCCAGTTATCTCCAAAATGTATTTATGGTTGGTTGGTTCAAATCACTGTCTAGAGTTAGGTGTACATGGTATTATTTGGTTGTTTTTTCTTTTTCTTTTTTTACGATTTATTTATTTATTTTAGAGAGAGCAGGGGGAGCGGCAGAGGGAGACAAGCAAATTCCCTGCTGAGCGGGGATCCCGATGGGGGGGCTCAGTCCCAGGACCCTGAGATCATGACCTGAGCTGAAATCAAGAGTCAGTGCTTAACCAACTGAGCCACCCGGGTGCCCCTGGTTGTTTTATTTTTAAAGTATCTTGAAATCTAAATTAGTTCCTGCTCTCTTCACACCGTGACTTCTTGAAGAAACCGTGGGAGTTGCCTATAGAGTCTCATAGACTCAGTTTGGTTGATTGCTCTTGTGTTTAATTTGTTCTGTCATTTATCCCGTATCCTAAAAGTTGGATCTAGAGAGGAATAATTAGATTCTGATTTCTCTTTTCTCTTCTTCCTTTTTTTTTTTGAGCAATAATACTTAATAGTATGGTGCACCTTATATTTAATCGATGCATTTAATTCTGGTTGTCTCACTTTTACTGAGGCTCAAATTGGTCATTGGGCACATAGGCAAAATCTTGACACCTTTGTTGGAAAATTCCCCATAACTTTTTTGCATTATGTTTTTGAGAGGGTTCATTAATGGTATTTGCACTTGTTTGTGCAAGTGCAAAGTTCATTTTGTTCACAAAATGAACAAAATATTGAGTCAGTTATTTCATTAAGGTTTGCAAAATGAAGATTTTCCAAATCTATCATTTCTGTTGTATTTATTAGCTGGAATTCTTTTACATATAAAAAGCTTGCTCCACCCACTAGGGCTATTTGGTTACATGGAATATATTCATACCAGAATGGCAGGATAAATATTTCATCCTTTCCTCTTATATTTTTCAGAGTAATTTTTGGCACCCTGGCAACTCTAATTCGTGTCCAGTGACTTAAAAAAATGTTTTTCCCTTTAGTATCACTAGACACAGCTTTTTTTTTTTTATCACTGTTTTTAGTCACTTGTCATTATTCTTTTGTTCAAATTATTACCCTTGGCTAGTAGAACCTCATCAAGCTGGCTTTTGAGTGAAAAGAGGTTTTTAATTGAAATAATATTTCATCATAGTACAAGTATCTAGGTAATCTGCATCTTTCTTTAATACATCTTTATAAAGAATAAAATAGCACATTGTATGGGAAGGTATTGATGTGCTTTTTAATAAGATCACAGCAAACTACCATTGAAGATTTGTTTAGTTCTCTGAGGTGAAGTGTGATACTAAGGAATATACTGGCATGGTAAAAATCCATTTATCGTTACATTTATAGAGTTTTTCTTCTAATACTTAACATCGAAGTTTTTCTCTTCCAACTTAAAATAAGATTGTATTTTATATCTTACATACAGAACTCCGTTTTTCAAGGTAGAACTGGCTGCTAAATCCCATTAAACTCTTGCATTTGTATTTGTGTTTTACACATTTTTGTAAAAGGATTATAGTTTTTTTGTTTGTTTTTGAGAGGGCATTTTATTTCTGTAGACCTTGTGGAGCATGAAGTTTGCTTTCTGACTAAAAATACTTGTTTGCTATGTTGATTTTGTGTAAGCCCAATATTGTATTACTTGTCTTTGTATTCATAACATTTACTTAAAAAGAGCCAGAAAAGATATAAATGTATCAAACCAACACATTGTGTGACTTAAACTTACACCGTGTTATATGTCAGTTATATCTCAATTAAAAAAAATAACAAAAACAATAAAAACCAAAACGAATAGAAAAGAGCAAGGAAAATATTAGAAAGCAAACTGCCATATTTTTCAGTACTACAAAACACAACAGAAGTGGAAACTGAGAAAGCTATTAAAGTTACACTGAACCAAGCCTCGTCCTCAAAATTCAGAAGAGCTGATTTCATACAAAAATAAGTAACATAAAACTATAGTCATGCAAAGTTGTTGTAAAAAATGGATGGTAATGGGGTCCCTAGGTGGCTCAGGTCATGATCATGGGGTCCTGGGATCGAGCCCCGCATCAGGCTCCTTGCTCACCGGGGAGCCTGTTTCTCCATCTGCTTGTATTCTCTCTCCTCTCCCCCTCTGACAAATAAAATCTTAAAAAAAAAAATAGATGGTAAGGAACAAAATATCCGAAAGACATTGAACACCAGAACGGCATGCCCATAAGAGGTCAGAACTATGACCTGATATTTAAAAATGACTCCTAAGATGTTTTGAAAGTGATACGAAGTATGAAAGAATACCAAAAATTAGAATTTCAAAAACTTTGGGAAAGTACTAGAAATAAAAGGAAAAATAATTTGGAAGTAAGACTAAACTAGGTTAAACACAAAAGCAGACAAACAGCAGATAACATGGGAAATAGAATGTCAAAGTAGGATCGCTTTATAAAAAGGATTCATGGGAAAATGACAAATTTTAGAGAGTAAAAAAAACTATATACAGAAAAAATTATACGAGGAATATTTTGCTTAAAAAAAAAATACTTGGAGCTACACATTGAAAGAATACCCTGCCTACCAGACAATGTTCTCTCATTTAAAACTTTGGATTTGGCTATCTAGATAAAAGCAAGTGACTTAGAAACAGCACTGTGCCAGGAGAAAATAATACATTTAAGATACTTGGGGAAAAATGAACAAAATATTTTATTTCTAACAAAACTGATTTTGAAGGGTAAATATTACTTCTCAGACATCAACTTGCAGGAATTCAGGAAACATGTTTTCCTTGAGTGCTTCCTGGGAAATGGACCAGAGAATGTGCTCAGATGAACTAAATAACTAGGAAGATGTTGACACAGAGTCTCTGGTGAGCATTAAATTTGACATCACGTCACCACCAGAGTGCTGACCAGGTTCATTGCTTGAAGCTCAACCCACTGGGTGGATTGTCCCTCATTACTGTCTTTGTGTCTAATATGGCAGCAGTCAGTGTTTGGCATATAGCCAGTATGATCCATCTGTGAATAAAACTTGTATTTTTTCTCCCCTGTTAGCTGATGATAGTGAACTCTTAAGTTGTAGATTGTGAATTGAAGGAGAGGTGTTAGTATCTTGGACGTAAGTGATGTAGGGTTCTGGGCCACCTTTTCATGAACCTTGGGAGCCTGTGGTCCTGCTTGGTCCCCATCCTGAATGTACCATGGATTGCTGCCATGCTGGCTAGGATGGTGGCTCGTGAATCTGACAATACTGAGCTTATGATGGGCTGCTCTGGTCACCTGGTTGATATACTATGTAATTGATGCTTAGTTACTAAGTCACTTGTGGTGCCCTCTCTCACTGGGGGCCCCACTAAAATCTTCCAAGTCACCTAAGGAATAGTTGGAAGCATTTTTCCCATCTATTTTGTGTTGTCTCAAAAATCCAGAAGCCTACGAAGTGCTTTTTAGTGGTGAGAGGAGGAAGGTACAATAATTTATCCTTTAGAGAGCGATGTCCCAGCATGTCCCAGTGGTAGAACTTCATAACTGCACCAATGTGGTAAAACTGCGTTTTGGTGCTTTACCTCTCACCATCTGGCATACACTGGCCTTTCCAAGATGTCTGAGTATTTGCCACTTACTTCTTGTAGGTTTAATGAACATGATGCCATCAATGCACAATATTTGAATGATTGAGTTCTCTGACTATATACTGTGATTTGCCCACGGACATGGGCCAGGATTCCATTTATCAGGAACTATAGAACATTTGGGTTCATCAGTGTCACCTTATGGCCCCATTCTAACAGGAACTGTGAGAACATTTGGGCTCATCAGTGTTACCTGTCATCCTGTATCTAACAGCCCTTAAAATATCTGGGTATTTCTCTTCAGTGCACTCTGAAAAATGAAGACTTGGGAGAATAGCTAGTGTATATACTTGCTGTGGCATTGAAAATTCCTCAGTCGCAACTCGTCTCCCATTTCATCTGGGTCTAAGATTTGACTAGAAACTGGGCTGTAGGGCAGCAGACATCCGTCTTCTGCATATCTGCTTTTGATTTTTTAAATTGTATGTAAAGCGAAACCTCTTTTGGTTTCCTTCCCCCCCCCCTTTTTTAAAGATTATTTGACAGAGAGCGAGAGCAGGAACACAAATGGGGAGTGGGAGAGAGAAGCAAGCTTCCCGCTGAGCAGGGTATCACGACCTGAGCTGAAGGCAGATGCTTAATGCTTAATGCTAAACGACTGAGCCACCCAGGTGCCCCCTTTCCCTTCTTTTTAAAAAGCATTTTAGTTGCCAAATAAGACATAAATACAGAAATTAAAATACGGCTCAGTGAAAGAGAATTTTACCTGCAGTTTCCATATGCCCCATTCCAATTTCTCTCCTTC